GTCGGAATTATTTGCTGAAATAGAATAGAAATTTATCCTTGAATTTTAGACTTGCTCGATTTGGCATTCCATCCACACTATCAAGAGTGACATATACATTCAAATATCAGGCTTGTCTAATAATTGATTTCAAATAAAACATTTAAAAAAACCATTGTGCGCTCACCTGAACGACATGTTTATGCTAATGTAGTTTCACATCATTAAATCATATCCTTACAACACACTGATAGTAATGTAGACGTAAAATCATATCCGTACAACACACTGATACTAATGTAGACGTACAATCATATCCGCACAACACCCGGATACTAATGTAGACGTAAAATCATATCCGTTCGACACACTGATAGTAATGTAGACGTAAAATCATATCCTTTCAACACACTGATACTAATGTAGACCTAAAATCATACCCGTTCGACACACTGATACTAATGTAGACGTAAAATCATTTATGTACAACACACTGACACTAATGTAGATGTAAAATAATATATGTACAACACACTGATAGTAATGTAGACGTTAAATCATATCTTTTCAACACACTGATACTAATGTAGACGTACAATCATATCCGTACAACACACTTATACTAGTGTAAACGTAAAATCATACCGTTCGACACACTGATACTAATGTAAACGTAAAATCATACCGTTCGACACACTGATACTAATGTAGACGTAAAATCATACCTGTTCGACACACTGATACTAATGTAGACGTAAAATTATATCTGTACAACACACTGATACTAATGTAGACGTAAAATTATATCTGTACAACACACTGATACTAATGTAGACGTAAAATCATATCTGCACAACACACTGATAGTAATGTAGACGTAAAATCATATCCTTTCAACACACTGATACTAATGTAGACGTAAAATCTTATCCGTTCAACACACTAATAGTAATGTTGACGCTAAATCATATCTGTACAACACACTGATAGTAATGTAGACGTAAAATCAAATCCTTTCAACACACTGATACTAATGTAGACGTAAATTCATATCTGTTCAACACACTGATAGTAATGTAGACGTAAAATCATATCTGTACAACACACTGATACTAATGTAGACGTACAATCATATCTGTACAACACACTGATAGTAATGTAGACGTTACTATATATACACATATATACAACACATTGATACTTTTGGTTTTGTAGACGTAAAATCTTACCCCCAGTACAACAAACTGTTACATGCTGTTTTATAGACGTATAAAGGAAACATGTCGGTTATTTGTTGAAGTGTTTATGCTATACTCATCTGTTTTATTAATTGATTGCTTGAAAGGTTATCAATAATTGAAACTGAATGGAATGTTCGAAATCTCCCGGTCCTACTCCGATCGCCAGATTGATATAATATAGGTACCCAACTCATTAAAAGTGATACTAATTACCTGTCAATATGCATGATTTATGATTTATTTGATATATTGCCAGCGCCAATTTCCACACGGCTTTTACTTCAAAGAGTAATAGCGCGAATGTTTCCGCACGGGAGAATTCCATCTTTTGTATTTCGTCTTTTCGTATGGCAGAGTTATCTGCTATTGTGAGCAGGTATTGATTGTTACGTCATTAGTTTGTGTGAGAAAATTACGTCGTTTTCTCAAAAATGTATGACGTTACTCTCACCAACAAATGACGTAATAATCAATACTTGCTCACAAGAGCAGATAACTCTGCCATACGAAAAGACGGTAATACGTAGTAATTGATTCAAACCCGATCCTTAACGAGACCGTTGGGACTTATTTCAGTCCCATTCACTGCTTTGCAACGGCTATGCACGAATTGTCCATTTCAAGCGTACATGCATGTTAATGCTGTTCTATTTCTTATGATAGTGCAGGGGGGATGTATATACATCAAATGTTTTTGGCAGTTAATTTGTTCATTTCCAATGAGACGTTTATAACGGTTTGGTAATTAATTCAATTTAATGAAGCACCTAATATATGCTACAAGTAAAGGAAGGACGGGGCTTTTTCATCTCTCGTGAGTAAATATTATTCGCCTGAAATTCCCATTTGCACTACAAGAAAGTCGAATAATCAGTATTCAGTCTCGCAATCCATTCTGAAAATAAATCCCATCTTTGTCTTCTGTTTACAATACACGGATGAGCTACTCATCTATACTCACCGTAACTAGTCGATACATTGGGGTAAATACGCGTCGCACTAATTGAATAAACTAACACAAGCGATTGTATGTGAAGCTGAAACGAAATCTTGACAAATGCAATCTCTTTGATCAAGGTAGGAATCGATAGCGTTTTCTCGTTGAAGAACTTGGTCGGAGAAATAGGACTTCTTACCGGGGCATACATTGTATAGCGTACGCAGTGTATCAGTATCTTACGGAAGAGGGGGAAGGGGAGAAGGCCTAATACTCTTACGTGGTAGGAGGCTTTTGTCTGCTTATAAGATGACACGCTTTTCCAATACTCGGCTTGCTTTGGTTTGGTGGTAATTGAACATTTCCAATCCGTATATTCGGTTGAACAGAGGCCTAAATGGTCATCACTGCACATGTACAGCATTACGAGAAATCGCAGATTAAGGATTTCTGTCCCATTGCAAACATACAATATATATATAGGTAGAATTCCGTTGAGAGTAGATCAGTTAGTTAGACCAACAGTATACACTATGTAACACAAGGTTCGATCCCCCGTCTGGCCACGACGGTTTCTTTGTAAAACCGTTGTCTTTATATGTACTTCATAAAAGTCTCGCAAGGTATATTGGTTTATCTATTCGGAAATGATTTATCAAAACTATTAGTCAAACTGTGCACCTCCATTAAACGGTATGTAATGTCAAGTACTATCAAATTCGTGTTGTGTATGAATAAAATGGATAATTATTTTGAAATCTAATAAACGGACACATTGTATATGTAGTTCCTATGAGCTTCTTCCTTTTTACATCTCCTTATTTACGCAGCATATCTTTTTTAATTACAGTCTGCTTTATTGAAAATCGGCAACACAATAAACTTTTGTATTGCCCCCGTGTCTCAGTGACTTAATACATGTAAACCCCCGTACGGAGTCATTGCCAATTAACCTAAGCAGCAGATACCTAAAACGCTATACGTATTGTCTGTCCCTCCGTCCAACGGGAGTACCTTTAATGTACGGTACCGTTAGACAATACACACATGTTAATTGTCGGGTACACCAAAACACACACGCAAATACATGTTTATATTGATATTACGTGTGACAATTAACAACTCGCCACATATTTACAAAGCTACTCCATAAATGTTTGGTATCGGCTATATAGTTTTGAGCAAGCACCTTCGTTTGTAGTTTTCCACTCCCACGAGGAACTATCGAAGAGAATGATTTCAGAATGAAATTATTTTGCGAAATCGGTATGTTATAAATATTATAGTTTTTAACAATAAATATGTTTGTTTCAGATATTTCACACAGTGACTAATAAATCAAACTGTTCACGCACGCTTTATATATAGAGCGAGACATCGTTAGTATACGTAACTGACAAATATTACACATATTTCTATCTGAAGTAATTAACTAGTATCCTACCTGAACCGAGATTCCACCGCTAGAGACAATGGTTGTTCCAGGTGTACGTACAGGTATACTGCCAGGTATATATATAGACTTACCTTTTCAGAATCGTCTTCTGTTGTAAATAATCACTGCATGGGATCGGCTAACTAGCACATTTTGTTACCGAGTCACCGAGTGATGGCGTCTCGTCAAGAGAGCGTGTAAACGATAAACAATGTAACTGTGTATCATACATTGTAACTGTGTATTATACAAGGTAACTGTGTATCATACATTGTAACTGTGTATTATACAAGGTAACTGTGTATCATACATTGTAGCTGTGTATTATTCATTGTAGCTGTGTAATATACATCGTAACTGTGTATTATACATTGTAACTGTGTATTATACAAGGTAACTGTGTATTATACATTGTAACTGTGTATTACACATTGTAACTGTGTATCATACATTGTAACTGTGTATTATACATTTTAGCTGTGTAATATACATTGTAACTGTGTATTATACATTGTAACTGTGTATAATACATTGTAACTGTGTATCATACATTGTAGCTGTGTAAAATACATTGTAACTGTGTATTATACATTGTAACTGTGTATCATACATTGTAACTGTGTATTATACATTGAAACTGTGTATTATACATTGTAACTGTGTATTATACAAGGTAACTGTGTATCATACATTGTAGCTGTGTAAAATACATTGTAACTGTGTATTATACATTGAAGCTGTGTATTATACAAGGTAACTGTGTATCATACATTGTAACTGTGTATTATACATTGTAGCTGTGTAATATACATTGTAACTGTGTATTATACATTGTAGCTGTGTATTATACATTGTAACTGTGTATTACACATTGTTACTGTGTATTATACATTGTAAATTATACATTTTAACTGTGTATTATACATTGTAACTGTGTATTATACATTGTAGCTGTGTATTATACTTTGTAACTGTGTATTATACTTTGTAACTGTGTATTATACATTGTTACTGTGTATTATACATTGTAAATTATACATTTTAACTGTGTATTACATATTGTAACTGTGTATTATACATTGTAGCTGTGTATTATACTTTGTAACTGTGTATTATACATTGTTACTGTGTATTATACATTGTAGCTGTGTAATATACATTGTAACTGTGTAATATACATTGTAACTGTGTATTATACATTGTAGCTGTGTAATATACATTGTAACTGTGTATCATACATTGTAACTGTGTATTATACATTGTAGCTGTGTATGATACTTTGTAACTGTGTATTATACATTGTTACTGTGTATTATACATTGTAAATTATACATTTTAACTGTGTATTACACATTGTAACTGTGTATTACACATTGTAACTGTGTATTATGCATTGTAACTGTGTAATATTTACTGTAACTGTGTAATATACGTATATACAATGTAATTGTGTAATATACGCATATACACTGTAATTGTGTAATATACGTATATACACTGAACTATGTAATATCTGTGTGTGTGTATGCGTGTGTGTGTGTGTGTGTGTGTGTGTGAACTGCTTCAAAATCATACTACCTTTTTGCTTAATGAATCAGTGTTCATATGTACACATACTTTATATTAATAATTTATAAATTTTACAGATTGCTTCGTAAAATTGACTGATTTGTTGATTAATGTAATGGATTGCTTCGTTAAATTGCCTGATTTGTTGATTTGTTGACTGGTGTAATGGAATGATTCGTTAAATTGACTGATTAATTAATCTGTTCACGGGTTTAATGGATTGATTTGCTGTCATCCTGACATATTAAAAAAAATCTATTAGAACATGTGTAGTACATATGTGGTATGTAAACGGTGGGCAGCCACTTCTACAGTGTGTTACCCTACACCCTAAGAAACCAACACTGTCCAATGTACACATATATACACTAATACAGCGCTGTACTTATAAGTGATGTATACTCAACGTATTTATGCCATATTTGTGAACTTTAATGTGAAGAGAACAAAGTGGTATTGAAAACTTTTCATTAAAAGGACAAACGGGTGGCAGCCATGACCAGCCGTCCGTGACATATGTTTATGGGACACCACACTTTGGGGTCAATTCTGATGTAAAGTGGTATTCCAATATTTATCAAAATGTCCAAACAATTACGAAGTTTAAATTCCCCGTATGAATACTTGACTTAAATCACAAGACGGGACGGCAACGTGTCGTAAAAACTGTGACAGAGATCATTTTGAATTTTCATGAAAAAAAACACCCAGAAAACAATAGCGAAAGTGGCTGGATCATGCAAATTTATACCTCTTAATTAAATCTTAAAGCACCATGATATCGACAGCTCTGGCAACAGGTACAGGTACATAAACTAAACAGCAATAGCAACACAGCAGCGTCGGAAACCAAGACAGAACCGGAAACCTGACAGGATCAGGAACCTTACAGTACACACAAACAAACAAACAGTCCTAGCAAACGCAACTCACCAGAAACCCTAGAGGAACCCTACAGTACACGTAACCCAACAGAAACAGGAACCGCGACACACCAGGAACCCCGAGAGCACATGGAAAGTATCAGGAATCCGGAAGCACCTGGAACCCCTGCAGCACCAGAAACGCCGACAGCACCATGGCCCCTGACACCACCAGGAACCCAACAGCATCTACAACCCTTACAGCACAGGGAACTCAGAAAATCCCCAGGAACACATCAGGTACAAGAACTCCAAAAGCACAAGGAACCCGACAAGACAACAACCCTGTCAAGAAACAGAGGAACATGACAGAATAAAGACCCGAAAACACGAGGAACCCGACAGAAGAAAGACCCGAAAACACGAGGAACCCGACACAATAAAGACAAGAAAATAAGAGGAATCCGACAGAACAAAGACCCGAAATCACGAGGAACCCGACAGAACAAATACCCGAAAACAAGAGGAACCCGAAGGAACAAAGACCCAAAAACACGAGGAACCTGACAGAACGAAGACCAGAAAATACGAGAAACCCGACAAAACAAAGAATCGAAAACCCCAGGAACTCGGCAGAAACTCAGACCAGAAAACACCAGGAACCCGACAGAAAAAGACCCGAAAACAACAGGAACCCAAAAGAACAAAGACCCGAAAAACACCAGGAACCGGCCAGAAACAAATAACAGAAAACAAGAGGAACCCGAGAGGACAAAGACCCGAAAACACCAGGAACCGGCCAGAAACAAATAACAGAAAACAAGAGGAACCCGAGAGCACAAAGACCCGAAAACACCAGGAACATGACAGAACAAAGAATCGAAAACACAAAAACCCGACAGTACAAAGAAATGAAAATGCTAGGAACCCGACCGAACAAAGACTCGATAACACGAGAAACCCGACAGAACAAAGACCCGAAAACACCAGGAACCCGACAGAAATAAAGACAAGAAAACACCAGGAGCCCGACAGAACAAAGAGCAAAATACACGAGGAACCTGACAAAACAAAGACCCGAAAACATGAGGAATCCGACAGAACAAAGACCCGAAAACATGAGGAACCTGACAGAACAAAGAATCGAAAATACGAGGAACCCGACAGAACAAAGACCCGAAAACACCAGGAACCCGACAGAAATAAAGACAAGAAAACACCAGGAGCCCGACAGAACAAAGAGCAAAATACACGAGGAACCTGACAAAACAAAGACCCGAAAACATGAGGAATCCGACAGAACAAAGACCCGAAAACATGAGGAACCTGACAGAACAAAGAATCGAAAATACGAGGAACCCGACAGAACAAAGACCCGAAAACACCAGGAACCCGACAGAAATAAAGACAAGAAAACACCAGGAGCCCGACAGAACAAAGAGCAAAATACACGAGGAACCCGACAGAACAAAGACCCGAAAATACCAGGAACCCGAGAGAACAAAGACCCGAAAACACGAGCAACACGACAGAACAAAGACCCGAAAACTTGAGGAACCTGACAGAACAAAGACCCGAAAACACCAGGAACCCGAGAGAACAAATGATCGAAAACACCAGGAACCCGAGAGAACAAAGACCCGAAAACACGAGCAACCCGACATAACAAAGACCCGAAAACACCAACAACCCGACAGAACAAAGACCCGAAAACACCAGGAACCCGACAGAACAAAGACCCGAAAACACAAAGAGCTCGACACAGAACAAAGACCCGAAAACACGAGGAATCCGACTGAAGAAAGATTCGAAAACACGAGGAACCCGACAGAACAAAGACCCGAAAACATGAGGAACCCGACAGAACAAAGAATCGAAAACACCAGGAACCCGACAGAAAAGAACACCAGAAAACACCAGGAACCCGACAGAAACAAAGACCAGAAAACACCAGGAACCCGACAGGTTCCGGTATTCTCTATCGGCTATAATACTCTTAATTTCTGATGGGTTTTTTTCTACCCTTTGGTTTTGTTTGTGTGTGTTTTATTAAGGGCGTGACAGATTTGGGTGGTGGAGGAAAACCGGAGTTCCCTGAGAGAAACCACCGACCTACGATCACTTTTTACGTTTCAATATATTTTATGATATCGTTTAAATTTTAAACAATTTTTTTTTTTTTTTATAAAAATGGTGAACCTAAACTTTCCAGCCCAAGTTGTTAAACAAAGTTAGATTCACATCAGGCTCTTCGTATCCGAGTCTCATCATGAGTACCAATCTCCAAGTGTAGAGTGTACGCGGCGCGGATAAAAATCTTTAAAGCCGTTTACTTTTAAAATACGGGTCATGCTTTTAATTTGTGGTGCGGGTAATTTGACTTACATTAAATATAAAAAGAAAACCATTGTACATTATCAATTCAAAACTGTAATCGGTATTCTCACAGTTAAATGTCTGCACATCCTTACGTACCCTGGCAAGAAACTCTAATAGAACAGAATTCGTTGTCTTTCTTATATTATCAGCTTTCATTTTATTCATCCATTCGTCTTTTGTACAATCATTCAGAAGTCTCATATTCTCCCGAATTATTGCAGTATTTCAATAATATTTTAATTGCAGTCTTTCTCAAAATGTCTTTAATTTCCTTTTTAGATGCAGGAATTTTACATTTTTTCTATTTATTGGGTATTAACTTATGTTTTTTTCATAAAATATCTAGTGATTGTTCAGCTTTATCTATACCGTCTCCACGAAAATTATTGATATTTTACACATCTCTAGTTAAGCATTTCCTGTTTTTAATTGGTGATATGTTTTTCTCAATATTTGAATTATAATCCATTCCTGTCTTTTGTATAGGAAGAGAGAAAACGCGGAGTGGTTCCTGGTTAGGAAATGAGCAGGAGTTTATGAATCGTTTTGCGTAATTTTGAAACCAGATTATTTCTAATGACATATTGCCATTTCTGTGCTATCGGCAATTCTGCTGACCCACTTCTGACATCGAGATTTAACTCCACAAGGATTAAATCTATACCTTGGATGAGAACATAGCCTTCGACTTCTACTGCTGTATTTTCATTTTGTTAACAAATGTTTGTGCTTGTGGCATAAAATGGCAGTATACCTGGTTATATATATATAACCCTGTTGAACCTCTAAAGATGAGAAAGCGCTAGGGAATTCGAAGAAATTCTTTCATTATATATATCAATAAATCTGATACATTGAATGCTTAGCCCCTGTGAACTAGATTAATCAGGGATAAATAAAGAATCGTGTTTATGTTTCTTAATTGTAACCAGTGTAACGTTATACACAATTAACCATTGTACAGTGGTCATTACTCCGGCTTAATGACTGCTTCATAAAATGTGTATATCGGTCCGTTCTTACACTATCGTTGACGAATAGTTGTCAATGCACGATGCACGATTGGCCTGCAAGTTGTATCTGTCGTGGTTAGAACTAAATTGCGACAAGGAACTAGGTGTGACGCGTCCGTACCAGATACAGGGGCAGATATGTTGCTAGATACGCTAACTAAAACATTGTTTTTAAGGTTACTTTACCATTAAAAGTGTTTCAAATGGGGGTATATATATATATTTAATTCTGTATTGGACTATCCCATTCGAAGCCTCTTGTATATTGGCCCTTTGTCTGAAGCATGGGGCAAATGACTTTCCTTGATAAATACATATGAGCAAGTGTAAATTGTTCCGAAAATACACAACTCATCATTTCAAACTATTTCATTGTTGGAGTTAGAAAAAAAAAACTAAAAAACTTCTTACCGGTATACCAGTTACACTGAACCTATGACGCTGATACAAAGTAGCAGGGGATACACGATGTTGTGGTTAAGACACAGACTTATATTAGATCTATAAACCGAATCCCATGGATGGGGTTACATTACAAGTTATTACATCTCACATATACATTAATTATGAGACATGGAAATAAATCATGTTTCCCTCACATGCTTGTGTTTCCCTGGTCACATTTCCCTTATTCAGAGTCTCTCTAGAAAAAAAGCAAAAAGTTCAAAGTGACAGAGGCAGATGACAACAATGGCAAGGAAACAAGCTTGATCATCTTTAATGGCATCATCGGGTGGTCGGGTGGGGCAGTAGATAGCACACTTGCCTTTCACCAAGGTGGCCGGGGTTCGATTCCTCGATCGGACGTGAAAAGGTTTGGGGTCACCTGCCTGACCACGTGGGCTTTCTCCGGGTGCCCCTGTTTCCTCCCACAGTAAGACCCCCGCGCGCTAACATCCGGTCCAACAAGAGTGCATTGTATAAGTTGTAAAAACTTGTTTCATAATTGTTGTTAAATAAATAAAGTGTATATATTATATATTTATATATATTTTTACTGTTTTATTCTTGTTCCATTTCGTTAAAAGGAAATACTTAGTACCCTTGAGGTAGGGAAACATGACATTTTTTTGACCTCGATTGATCATGGTTTCTCGGTCGTTTACTTTGTGATTCATGATAAATCTCGTGAAAACTAAGAATTATGTTTCCTTATAACACGTGCCACACAAAGTATGATAAAGGAAGCATCAAGTGAAAGTTTAATAGTAACGTATAGATGTTCATAGACTATCCATATTTATTCATAATTACATAGTATTTACTTTTTATGATATTCACTCCCCAGGTGGTCTGTTAACTGCGGTTTGCTTTTCCCCAATGAGGATAAACTGTCTTATATTAAGTAAATAAACCTCATGTTGCTGTTCATGCGCAAGGGTTCAGCTCGATGGACCGTCTCCGTAAAGTCTAATTTAAGCCATTTCGGCGTCCTCGTCTGGACCGCCACTGGCTAGGGATTGCTGCTGCCTGAATGGACATCCTCCAGAAACGGGCGAAGGAAGTCGGGTGTGGACGTCCTGACACTTAGCGTCAGTTTTACGGTTGGTGAAAGTCGACAACTTTGCACAAATCGTATTCATGGAAGACTCTGTCTCCGATTTAGTTCTAAAAACGCCACATTTACAGACGACATTTGACTTCTCAATTCGGAAGACGGTAAACAAATTACACTGACTTCTTGATTTAATACTAGATTTAATTTCAATCAATCAAAAGCACCAATTGACTTGCTCATCAACAAAAAAACTCTACACTTGACAGATTTACAAACAGTATTACCTATCAGTTTGACGGTACATTTTGATCCGTACGGTAAGTTTGTATTCGATCTACAAATGATTCATTTGAAACGTTTGCATTTGTTTGTTAACAAATCTTAACAATTATTAATAGTAAAATTGATGCATGTAGCCTCGTCCGACAAAGGCAACCAGTCACACGCCTCGCTTGTTTACATTGTTAATATCAATACGGGGAGATTTGTTGATAATAATCCATTGTTATTAACCAATGAGAAGTGTTGTTACATCGCACACGTTACAGAAACGTTCAGTTTCAGTATTTATAGTTATAAAGGTAATAAGCATACAACAGATTCATGTAATATATTTAATAATAAAGCAACATCTCTGAATATCTATATGTTAAACACTGAACATGTATATTGCAGATGATAATACAAATTGTAAGCTTAGTTTATTAAATATAGGAGGCGCGGTAGTCTAGTGGAAGGACGTCGGGCTCGTAACCGAATGGTTGCGATTTCGAGTCAAGGCACGGCAATATGTTGTATCTTTGAGCAAGATACTTTACTCCGTTCCAGTCTACTTATCTGTAAATGAGTACGTGGTTGGGCAGTGCTAAAAATGTACAATGCTAGCAGTGAGCGCCAATATGGCAGCACCGGCTGTAAGCTCCCCAGGAGTTGAGAAAGATATTGGCTGGGGACAAAGGCCCTATTACCACGGATAATAATTTGTGAACCGCTTTGAGACGACCTACGAACTAGGTGGTGATAAAGCGGTATATAAGAACGTCGAACTATCATTATTATAGGACTGCACCTCATATTTGATTTTGCATTTGTATTGTTACACCAAATAGATTCGTAATAATACCTTTCTCTCTTTTCCCTCTCCATCGATTCTCTTTGAAGAAAAAGACGCTTGCCCCTCGGGAATACGTGGTCTTGCTCTCATTGTATGTTGTAAGTGTCTGCATGTGAGTTATTCCTATATTCATATTTTGTCCTAGTTTTATCGATTTGCAATTCGAACTCTTTCCTTTGAAGCAGTACATGTATTATTAGTCATTGAAGTCGGATTTTTAATATTTTACTGTCGCAGGTATAAGATAAAAAATAAGAATTCTGATTATTGTGTATTAATAGTATATGCTATTCAAATTCAAAGTATTTTATGTCTTAAAGATAGGAGAAAATAGTAACATAATGCTTAAAACTTAGACAGTAAATATCAACTATTTTGTAGTCGCGAATATAACCTGTTTCCCTGATAAACACCTATATGTCCTGTCGTGTTTGTCTTAATACTGTTCACAAGCGGTGTGATGTCACTGCTCGTTGTAATCTATAATGGGTGTATGCGTGTGTGGGTGTGTGCATGCGTATGTATATGCAAAGGTCTGTATATACATATATGTATGCATTGCTGTGTCTAATTACGAAATAGTTCATTTATACATCAGGTTATCATGTTTATATATATATCAGTATCTCCACATGCATGCACGTCCCTGTCCATCCTGTAATGATTTAACATATAAATCCATGTACCCCATGTCACACATTTTCATGTGTCTGAGTGTTGGAAATAAAATCTGAAATCTGCGATCTGACAAAAATTGCAGATCCGCCAGGCTGTTCGACTGTTTGTATTGTCTTGTGACTGGCTTGTCTTTCTTTTACCGAAATATCGAGCTTCACTAGGTATATTGAATGGTTTTTACAAACCCTGCCACTACTATATACATTCTGACCTACGAAACACTAACGATTCCTAATTCCCAAGCAACGCTGTCGACAGGACTGGTATGTAGACCCCACGGCCTCACTACGGCCTCACGACAATGGTGCACCTGTATAACTATAATCCATCTTTCAGGTCTTGCATATTTTCCCAACCATATCTGAAAATAAAGCATACATTTTTTTTTAAATCGGCGGCGCAGAGATGTCTTGATGTTACGTGTATATTAGCATACTTTACAATAACAGTGAATGAAGCAGTGAAGAGTATTTTTTTTTTTATCTTCAAAACATTAATTAGACTCATAACACATCAGAATTCAGAAATGCATATTCTGGCTTTACCAAGTATACAAAATTACTTATCTGGAAATTTTATAAATGAGAGTAAATACGCTGTCCTTGTATTGGAATATGTCCAGGATCCCAATAGTGTTACGGCCTCCTAAATGTTGAAAATAAAATTCTATTCATTGGATATTTAAATTGGAGTTATTCAATATTCTGGCCCGTTTTGGGTTGCAAAAACATATTATTGTAGAACACTAGAACTTATGGTCGTTACTTACCTTTGTATGTTATAATGCCATCTCTGTTCACGTCCATATCGTGGAAGATCTCGTTAAGGAATGCGTCGTCAAGAACATCGCCTGCCCCTGACAGAACCGTCCTTAGCATCAAGTACGAAATCGTTCCGTCTCCCTTTTTGTCAAAAGTCCGGAAGGCATCCATTAAGGTGTTCCTTTCGTCCACAGCCTCGTCCATTCGAGTTTTCAGCTTGTCCTTGTACTCCTCAAATTCGATATACGTGGACCCTGTCAACACAAACATTTTATATCGACAAAAAAAAACACATTTTGATATCAACACAAATTAATTAATAAACGGGTTTTGTCAAAATCTGAAAGTCTATGTTATCAGTCAAATTAACGAATTTCAACATTCAAAGACTGTTTCTTTAAACAAAACAACACAAAAATAATGCAACAGCTGACATCAAGATGTTTAAGTTTACATCAGCCATTTATGTAAACAGAAGTCAAAACCTTATTCAAATTGATGTTATTTTATATTTCAACACATTACAAGTCAGAATGTACATGTAAAAATGAAAGAGAGGGAGCTTTTTTCGACTTAGAATAACTGTTTTATGTCGACATTCATAAAAATGTTGGAAGTTATCAACACATATACGTCAGCGGGCATCATCAACAGTTAAGTCAGAGCTTTGGGCAAGACAATCAATAATATGATCCCTCGGGCTGGAGATTTCTCTGTCACCCCTCGGGCTGGTGATTTTTCTGTCACCTCTCAAGGTAGGGGAAGACTCTATTGATCTCCACATACCCTAACAATTATATGTCGCGCCATCTCCACGCACCCTATACTTATATATACTAACCATTGCCTGCACTATTCATTATATGTATACATATATAACACCTTAACCATGACGCGTCATCCCATCACCACACAATATCACCAGTACGTGTCACCGCACCCCCACCATGTGGTCCCTGTATCCTTACCATTAGCGTCACACTCGTCCAAAAGGTTTTTAACTGCCTCCTGTGTCGGGTTGAGCCCCATACTACGATACCACCTGACGAGTTCCTCTAAGGACAATCGCCCGTCCTTGTCGGCGTCAATTGCGTCAAACATGGCGCGCAACTCTTTTTCCTGGTCATCCGCATTTTCCTCTGAAAATGGAGGAAATGTTTATATTTTTCCCGCTACCTTGGAATATATCGTGATAGAATCTAAGGCTCTTTACACGACACATTGCGGATGATATAAGTAGACTAGCTTATGTCTATGATGGAGGTCAGCGAAATTGCACAGCAGCGTGGCGGTAAAACCGACATACTTCTAAATTTGACGTTACGCCTCTGTAATCGTCATTGGCCTGGTAAAGTATCAGTTAAGTGATTGGTCAGGATTTAGGCTTTAAACCAGTTAAATAGCTTACCGCGATCTTTTGATTTAGTCATGACATATACCAAGGGTGCTGAAGCAAAAAAACTATAGATTTCAGAAATGATAATCATTCTTAGTGACTCCTTTCGTGCTTAAAGTGAATGCACGCATTGATAAAACTGACCATTTCAATGGAGGCAACTCGCGGTCATCTTAGAAAAAACGAAAGTGTCGTTTCTTTCAAGATTCCTCCATATCTTAAACTGATTAGAATCTTTAATACAATGTTTATACCAAATTTGATGCTTTTATCACAAAGAGCAGTTTTTTTTCTCTTATCCGCTGTGGTAGTAGAGAAAAAGCTATGCATAACGAAGTTACTTTGATGAAGTTATATAACAACTAAGTACAGGACAGTTCCGATCAGTGGTCTTTAAAAGAAAAATCTTTTCATTACCTTCCACTACTGTTACCAGTAATTGCCTTTTATCCTCTGTTGGTAATATTACCGGTTGTATACTAGAGTATCAACATTCACTGTTTGGTACACCTACTTAAAATCATGCAACAAAACACTCGTAAATATACTTAATTTCCGAGTCTAAAACCCTGACGAGTTCCATAACGATCTGAAATATAAACTAGAAGTTGGTACTTTATTGAGAAGATACATACCCGTAACTTCCTGTAGCTGAAGTACTTTTGTCTGTTCGTCCGTCTTTTGTTCCTCTTCGTTGGCTTCCTGCGGTTCCGACATGCTCACAACTGGTGAAACTGATAGATGTTCAACTATACAAATATATATGTGCTTGCGTTTATGAGAATGTTTTGCCATTTTATACCTTGGCGGTAATTTGTATTAGTTTGTATTTACAACTATAGTCGGCAAAATAAATTGGAGTGGGGGTTGAGTTTTTAAAAATCTTAGTATGTGTGTCTCTGAGAGCAAACATGTTTCATTTTCACTCTTGGGCTGTTGATAGAGATTTAAGTGTTTTTCATAAAAAGTGAATTCAAATTTTAAAAACTTGTTTATAAAAAATATTCTTGATAGCACTAATCAAGCTAACGTGAGCTGAACTTGTTATTGTTCATAAATTGCAAACTTACTGACATCTTATTCAACGCGATCAAATATTCAGATTTTACAACACACTATTAGTATCTAAGTTATTTGCTTAGAAATAAGTGAAATTAATAACAGATATGGATTAAGTAAATAAATAAAAGGAGCATTTTTTTGATAAAATACAGCTCACTTGGATTGATTGTAGCCGATCTCCGAATAGTGAATCTTTGTCACCCCCTCTGTGAAGTTCGGAAGGCTATGCTCATTGTGTATGACAATACCAGTCTCCCCTCAGGTACAGTAGTTGACTTGACCTGATGTGTATAGTTGGACCACGTCCATTATATTTCAGGGTTGAGGCTTACTACATTCTTTTCTGTGATCTTTGTCACGCTAAGTCGTGCTTTGTGTCGGTTGATCATGACAAAGGGATAGATTATCGGGGAATTAAAACATATGCATCAATGCATAAATAATATACACTTTATTTATTCATTAAACAAGTTATTTCAACCTATATTAATCACTCTTGTTGGTCTGGACGAATGGAACCCTGATCGCCTTGGTGAAAGGCAAGAGCGCTATCCACTGCACCACCCGACCACTCATAAATGATCGTCATTGATTATCTTATCGCAATTATAGGCCGTTTTTGTTTTAAATCAGTTTAATAGAATATCAAATGCAATCATTTCTGGGGTTTTTATGCCTTATTTTGAATGTTTCTCAATCAATGGTCATCACGCCTTGTTGTTTCTATGCCCCATTGAAATCAGTCGATCTAGCTACAAGACCTAAAACACCTGGAGTTCCTTTTGCATACTCTGCAGATTTAGAATAGTATTTCTCATAGAAACTGTTTAAATGCGTCTTTGCTCTTGACCCCCGTCTGTAGATTTCCCTGACAAGATCAATGTACGTCTATGTTGACCATCCGATTCTAAATAGTGAAGAAACACAACGAAACCGATACATTATAGCATTAAGTCGTTTGGTTTGGTTTAGTATTGTTTTACGTCATATCAACAGCTAAGGTCATTTAAAGACGGCCTCCCCTGTGTGCAAGAAAAATGCGTGTAGTGTATGCGTGTGTGTTTGCGGAGGCTGCGATATGTTCGTGTTTGTCTCCTTGTGATAGAGCGGAACTAATGCCGACTTTATAGTGCTACCTCACTGAAACATACTGCCGAAGACGCCCAACATGATACCCCACCGGTCACATTATACTGACAATGGGCGAACCAGTCGTCCCACTCCTAAATTGTTGAGCATTAAGTAGGAGTAGAAACTACTATTTTTACAGACTCTGGTATGTCTCGACCAGGGGACAGAACCCAAATCCTTCCTCACAGGGGCGAACGCTCAACTAAAGACCACAGTGAGGCATTGTCAAGGGAGACATTAGGAAAGTAGTTCAAGAGAAATGGGAGCAGCAGGTACAATGCTTACGCCCTACCTGCAGGGACTCATTAGGTCGTACTTACGTTGGTTAAAACATACCCATAAAATAATCAAAGATGCTAACTTTGTCCCCTAGTAGAACTAGGGAGTAGGCGTGTCATCCCGGGGACAGCACAGTGTCCGACCAACTGAAATTTGACCATTTGTCGATGTTTTATGAAGTCTACCGAAAAGTATACCGCATAATAAACGGCAAATTATTCATCAAAGGAAAGCTATTTTCCTGTCGATCTTGAATGCTCCTGGCGGCATATTATGTACGGTTATGACAAAATCGCATGTTTTCAGGAACGGGGTCATTCTACTAGGGGGACAGAGTAAGCAACCTTGATTATATTATAGACGAGGCTTATACAGGTACCTGTTGTTAAAATAATCAAATGTGGAAAATGACTTGACGAAATAATTCCATTCTGGGAGTCTGTATTAATGTAGCATTTCAATTGGAGAATAATTAGGTAGATAGCAAATGATGGGTTGCCAATTGAGAAACAACGACCGAAGCACGACTGACTCTGACGTAGATAAAAGAAACAACACATTTTGATGCAGCAGTATGTAAGTCACATCCCTTGAAGCTTAATGGACTTGGTCCAATGGTAATGATTGTGTTGGGTCGACCATAGTACCTGAAGGAGAACGGCTTTTGTCACGTACACAAATACAGTAGCGTTACAAACTTCAAAGAGGAGGTTGCAAATATTGAATTGGCTACGACCAATCCGGAATGGATGTAAATATTCAAATAAAGTATCTTTTACGGGTATTTTAACTAAACTATTAGAGTAAACGGGACGGTATGTATGGATTAGATCATGGAGAATGTCCAAGAAACTACTTTTTCCTGAAAATGTGGTCATGAGAATAGAAGCCCGCAGTGGGGCTGTATCATTCCAACCATTTTATATACCATGATGACGTCACGGATGCGTCACAGTTCTCCAGTAATAGTGATACATTTACGTTGCAATCCAGTTGTAGGTGTACAACTTTGTGTAGCACAAAGTATCTGTGACTTACGTTATGTTAAACAAAAATTATATAAGTAAAATTATAGGTGTACGCGTAAAATAAGTATAACTATTAATTAAACCGCTGAAGATGATATTTCATGAGATTAAAAATATAGCTGAAGCACACAGATATCGGTAGCACACATATGATATTTTTTATAAAACTTTAAATATATCTAGAACACACAGAAAGTTTGCTTTGTAATATATTTAAGTCAACGGGGAATTCGCTCCAGGTCAAAAGTTAAATAAGTACAAAACAACCATATTTATTTGATGATTAAGAGAGACAAATAAGCAAGCGTCCCCCCCCCCCCCCCCCCCCCCACCCAAATATTCTTAAGTTCAATTTGATTTTTCATACAAATATCAGTACCACGATAGTTCTACTCCCTAGATTAAACTGAACTATTATAAGACTGTTTTTGTACATATCTATAAGTGATTCCCTGATACAATGTCTTCGAATTTCCATCTCGTTTATTATGTGAGGCGAGCTTATCATGGCCATTTAAAAACGTAACATTTCACCAGACATCGGTGTCATGATATTCTGTCTTTGCGTATTCTCTTGTGAGCAGGTATTGATTGTTACGTCATTTGTTTGTGAGAGTAACGTCATAAATTTTGAGAAAACGACTTGATTTTCTCACACAAACCAATGACGTAACAATCAATACCTGCTCACAAGGGAAGATAACTCTGTAATACGTCGTAAATTCAATTTCTGATCCTTTAATATTTCTTTCAGATTTCGATCAATTAATATCCAAAAAGTTATTCAATTAAATAAGACCTAGATGCCACGGGCTTCAGTCTGATCTAGACTCTACAGCCTCGCGATAGCAAGTCACACATGGAACATTCACAAAGAAAATTTCAACAATGACTAAACGATAGTATGACTGATAAATGGGAGAAATATAAAGGAACGACTTACGGTGACTGTGACAGCAGAGGCCTAGCTTGTCGATCCGGTACATTGATATAGCTCTGGACATCTTTGTTCGTATCGCTCACTGGAGAACATATTTTTTAAATGACCAACAATGGCTTTGCAGACACTAGAGAGGGGATTACGCTAACAATAGTATCCTAATGTACACAGTGTGGTCTGTGTAAAGCGCTGTACCACCTCAAAAGAAAACTACATCACAATAACAAATCGGAGATAGATCTAGAGGAGAGCTTACTCTTCTCCTCATGTACATGTGCTTCTGGAAT